AGTACGCCAAAGTAGTGGCAGAGCACGGCAAACTAGTGGCAAAGTACTGCAAAATAATGGCAAAGTACGGCAAACTAGTGTCAAAGTACTGCAAAGCAGTAGAAAAGTAGTGGCAAAGTACCCCAAAGTAGTGGCAAAGTACTGCAAAGTAGTGGCAAAGTACTGCCAAGTAATGGCAAAGTACTGCTAAGTACGGCAAAGTAGTGGCAAAGTAGGGCAAAGTATTGGCAACGTACGGCAAAGTAGTGGCAAAGTATGGCAAAGTAGTGGCAAAGTAGTGAAAAATAGTTGCAAAGTACTGCAAAGTAGTGGCAAAGTACTGCAAAATAGTGGCAAAGTACGGCAAAGTAGTGGCCAAGTACGGCAAAGTACTGTAAAGTAGTGGCAAATACGGTAAATTATGGCAAAGTATGGCAAAGTAGTAACAAAGTAGTGCCAAAGTACGGCGAAATAGTGGCAAAGTACAGCAAAAGATAGCAAAGTACGGCAATGTAGTGGCAATGTACTGCAAAGTAGAACCAAAATACTGAAAATAAAATAAATAAAGAAGTTCCACGATTTTCCACAAAAATGATTGACATCACAGTAAGCAAGAATGCAGAAACGTTGTCTAAATATTTTCCATGTATGTGATGAAACAAAAACAAAATTCAAATGAAGCTTAACTCAAGTAGTCTCCCATGCAAGTACTAACCCGGCCCGATTTTGCTTTACGTCAAACATTTGCCGGTCACCTTACCACACAGCTGCATGGGCTATTTGAAATTATGCCGAATTAGAGGCTATTTCATGTTTTTGGATGTTTTAAAATAGATATCGCTTGCACAAGTATTGACTTATGACCTCTACAAACTTGAAGTAACCCTACGGTAGTTTAACAGCAAATTACGAAATATTTATTCACATTTTCGATCTTTTAACTTCGGGATCTTGTTAATATGATATCACAGGTAACAATCCCGAATGAATCTACTACTAGTAACTTTGCAATCGCTTTTCACAACTTTGAATGCAGTTTGTTGACGATTTTTCGTTTGGCTGTTGTGATAATCTGCTTATATATGAGGTCTTTTCGATATATTTACCTAATGTTTTCGACATTTAATTGCGGGGTTGTCATGACAATGACCTACGTTAAATATACAAGCAGCTCCGCCAACATTTCCTTTGCTTTTTTTCATCTTTTCACGCTGTTTTCTCACATTTTACAATCGGTTCATGTAAACATCTATAGGCTGTTTTCAACGTACTTTTATTAAATTTGTCGACTTCACAACTGCGCGTTTCTATATGCCAACAACTTAAATCATATATACAAACACATCTACCGACTTTGAATTAATTTTGCATAACTTTGCAATTACTTTGAACAACTTTGCACGGTGTGTTAACAGCTTCAAACCCACTGCGTCCCGAAAGCAACTTGTTCTTAAAAGTTAAAAATAATTGGAAAACGTTTCGTTAAATAATGAAGTTACAAAAATTAGACGATTTTCCAATATAAATGATTGACATCACAGTAAGAAATAATGTAGGAACGTTGCCTGAATCTTTTCCATGTATGTGATGAAACAAAAACAAAATTCAACAGATGGTTTAATCAGGTAGTCTCGCATGCAAGTACTACCTGGTCCGATTTTGCTTTACTTTAAAAATTTGCCGGTCACCTAACCACACAGCTGCAGTTATTCGAAATTAAACCGAATTGGAAGCTATTTCATGTTTTTGGATGTTTTAAAGTCGATATCACTTGCACAAGTATTGACCTTTGACCTCTACATACTTGAAGTAACAATACGGTAGTTTAACAGCAATTTACGAAATATTTATTCACATTTTCGATCTTTTAACTATGGGATCTGTTGATATGATATCACAGGTACCAATCCCGAATGAAACTACCATAGACACAAGTGCAAACGAATGCAATTTTGAAACATTTCCAAACATTACATGGCCGCCAACTCGAATAAAATTCAAATGACCCTAATATCTGAGTGGTCAGGTGATCGACCTGTCACACAAGTCAATATCACTTGTACAGGTTAGTAATTGCATGGGAGACTACCTGAGCAAACCAGTTGGGTTTTTTTGCTTTCGTCACAAACTTTAAAAAACATAAAGCATTGTTTGTATTTTTCTTGTGATGTCACACATTTATTGTAAAAATTCGTGCTGATTATTTTGGTATGATAAGTTTATAGAATGTTTTAAAATTTGCACATATTTTCAATGTACAACTAGTTTTTGCGGTCGGCACAAAATGAATGTAAAGAAGATTGCGTGTATATTTGAACTATGTTGTCATCTCTATCCGTGAAGTTATGTAGTAGGAAAGGTGAATACAATGCAAGTGAAAGTTCCGCAGAGTGTCATATGAGCTGACCGTAACATGTTTTAAATAGCCTAAAATGATATGAAAAGCATTTGAAAAGTTGGTGGGTTTGCTAATATATTTGACCTAAGTCAATCAGTCAGTCTGTTGTTGTGAGTTGTCAGCCAATAGTCGTATAATTAATCTGAATATTCAGATATAAGTTCAGCTTTCAGACAATTCTTAAAAAAATATCTACTAATATTGGCATTTTGTAGTTCTGGTTCTAGTGAATTCTTATGCTTAATTAATACAAACTTTATGTTATGCTGGGTTATAGAAAGTTTTGTTTTTGGTATAGAGAGGCTGCCACTTCTATTTATTTTAGTGGGATAATTATGAGAAGGAGTGTTGATGTAGATATCAGGACAGCGTGCGAAACGATTTTTATTTAAATCGAAAATATATAGACAAGAGTGGAATTTACATAGTTTATGAATGTCCTGAATTTGAAGAGAACGGAACAGTGTTGCAGAATGCGAGTTCCATTTTGAAACATTTCTAAACATTAAATTAGCATAATTAAAAAAAATTGCATAAAGTGTAGGTACGTCTTCTGGAGTCCTGCCATCTGCTTTGCTCTTTCCACTCATTCCATGTTTTGACGCCCCATTTTGTAGCGCTGCGAGTTGTCTTGGGTATGCGTGACTGCTGGTATTCGGCGACTTGTTTGCTGTCAACTGGAGGCAAAAATGCAATTCTTTCTGAATATCGCTCAGTTTAAAGTCCTCGGCGTCGTCCACGTCAATTTGAGACAACCAGTTTTCCAAATCCACAGTCAATTTCCAGAGCAGCGAATTCTTGAGCGGACATGATTCTGACGGATCTCCGGAGTTCACCCAACAACGTGTTACTGTCATGATTTATATTTCAGCTTAATGGTGGTTGCCATGGCATCTACTGATAGGGGTTAAATGACGAGGTCAGTCAGCTCGATAGTGGTTGCCATTACATATACTGATAAAGGTTAATGATGAGGCCAGATGGCGAACTAGTCGAAATCAGCCAAGACATCTCATGAGTTTGCAACTTTTTAAAGATTACAAAGTACGGGAATCGTAATCCTAAACCAATGTTGTTTGCGATTCTAAACTCATGTGGTATCTTTGTGGAATGTTATTGCAAGACTATTAAACCCATAAATATTAGTTGGCGTTGACAATATGATAAGTGGTTTTCTTAATAGCTTGACGATTAATCAATTGATTATGATGTGTAAAACTTTCATGTGATTGGTTGTTTGTTTGAAGGCAAGGCATTGGAGTCTCTTATACTGATTGTAATTGGTTAAGGAGTGACAAGTAATAAAAAGTGATTTAATGCTGTCTCGGGTGGAAACCGGGGACAAAGAGAGAATCGGTTGGACATGAATGGAGCTTGTGCGTGCTTTTTTGTGAGTCCAGCGTGGAGAACAATCGAATCCCGGTTACCTAAGTGAAAGGTTTTCAAACATCAAAAATACCTATCACATCACACTGTTCTCACAAATGAGCACCAAATTCACGTGATCGAATGTTTTTTATGAATTATACGTGGTCCAATCAGTGTTGGTTATGGTAATACAATAAAGTTGGTGGATTCTATTGGTAAACAAAACAAACTCTGCTGAGTAAATGCCGATTGGCTAGAGCTTTTCAACACATCTGATAATTTATCACATGATAATTGCGGTTGACTACACCTGGTTTAGAATTGCGACTTACACAATAGCGCTGTAAACATCCGCCATGACCACAGGATTTAAAATAAGCCGTGCAAAAC